TCTTGCTGCTTTTAAGATTCTCTCTTTATCATTAAACTTTGGCATTTTAATTATGATGTGTCTTGGTGTGGGCCTCTTTGGTTTCATCTTGTTTGGGACTGGCTACATATGCCTGGACTTGTATGTCTATTTCCTTCACCAGGTTAGGGAAATTTTTTGTCATTATTTTTTCAAATAGGTTTTTTAATTTCTTGCTTTCTCGCATCTCCTTCTTGTACCCCCATGGTACAAATGTTGGCATTTGTCCCAGAGGTTCCTTACACTATCCTCATTTTTTTAAATTCTTTTTTCATTTTGAAGCGCTGAGTGGGTGTTTTTTGCTTCCTTATATTCCAAATTGCTAGTTTGATCTACTGTTTTATCTACTCCACTGTTGATTCCCTGTTAATTATTCTTCATTTCAGTTAGTGTATCCTTCATTTCTGACTAAATCTTTTTTATGGTTTTCATACATCATTTTTTATGCTGTTGAAATTCTCATTAAGTTCATCTACTTTTCTCCTAAATTCATTGAGCATCCTTATAACCAGTGTTTTGAATTCTGCATCTAGTAGATTGCTTGTCTCCATTGTATTTAGTTCCTTTTCTGGAGTTTTGTTCTCTTCTTTCATTTGGGACACATTTCTTTGTCTCATCATTTTGGTAGGCTCCCTGTGTTTGTTTCTATGTATTAGGTAGAGCTGCTGCATCTCCCAGGCCTGGCAGAGTGTTCTAATGTGGTAGGTGTCCTGTACGGTCCAGTAATACAGCCTCTCCATTCATCCTAGTGGGCACTCCAGTTTAGTCCCCCACCCACCAGTGAGCTGTATATACTCTCTTGTTGTAACTGAGCCATGATTACTATTGGCACATCAATGGGAGGGATTTATCCTCAGGCCGATTGGCTGCAAGGACTGGCTATGACCACTGTAGAGGATCAGCTGTGCAGGGGTCCAAGCCATGGAGCAGGACTTCAGTGGGGCTCTGGTGCCTGCTGTGCCTGCCCCTTGAGCATGTCACTTGTAGAGGTGGTTACATGGTACTTTGACATGGTCTGAAGCTGTCCACTGGATGATGCTGGCTCTGAGGCCTCCTGGGAAGTGAGTCACTGCCTGTGTTCTTCTGGGAGCCAATTGGCATGAGCTACAAAGTGATTTGCTGATGGTTGCTACTTGTGTTGGTCTGGGTGGTGCCCAGGAGAGGCCAAGCTGGGAACCAAAGCTGGCTGCCTCTGGTGCTGGACCTGGGGCCACTTAGAGGTTCAGGGCATGATGAGGCCAGATGCAGCTGTTTGAGAGATTTTAGGAAAGTCTGAAGCATGAGCCAAGACAGGTCATTTGTATGAAAAAGCTACGGGAAACAGCTTGGTTGAGACAACAATTTGGGTGCAGTAGGGTATAAGGAATCACTAGGGTGGGGCAAACAGTATCAGCCAGGTTAATGGAGACTTAGATATGGCACCTGCCAGCTCTGTGGGGGAAGGCTCAGCAAAAGAACAATGGCTTCTGACAGCACTTCTGTCTGGTAGACACCTGCCCCTCCAGCTCTCAACCTGATGCCAGACTGTTCAGTTCCTCCCATATGTCCCTGGAGCCTTTTTTTAAAAAAATGAAAAACTTATCTTTATTGTTGAATGTATGACAGATGTCCCCTCTTTTTGCCCCCATTGACCCCCTCATCCCCAATCCCGCCCCCCACCTGCCTTCCCCATGCTATTGTTTGTGTCCATTGGTTATGCATATATTCATAAAAGTTCTTTGGTTTATCTCTTCCCACCCTCCACCCCCCTCCCCTTTGAGGTTCATAAGTCTAACAAACAATTTGTACTACTTAATTCCTTCATCTTCTTCATCCATGCCCCCCAGCTCCCTCCCATTTGACAAGCAACAAAAACTTCTCTGTATCTCTTTCTGTTCTGCTTGCTTATTTTGTTTGTAGATTCAATTGTTGATAGGTATGTATTTATTGCCATTTTATTGTTCATATTTTTGTTGTTCTTCTCCTTCAAGAAAACCCTTCAACATTTTATATAATATTGGTTCGGTGGTGATGAACTCCTTTAGCTTTTTCTTGTCTGGGAAACTCTTGATATGTCCATCGATTCTAAATGATAGCTTTGCAGGATAGAGTAATCTTGGTTGTAGGTTGTTGCTTTTCATCATTTTGAATTTCTCTTGCCTGCAAAGTTTCTTTTGAGAAATCAACTGACAGTCATATGTAGGTAACTAACAACTTTTAAGATTCTCTCTTTGTCTTTAACCTTTGGCATTTTGATTATGATGTGTCTTGGTGCGGACCTCTTCAGGTTCATCTTGTTTGGGACTCTCTCTGCTTCCTGGACTTGTATGTCTGTTTCCTTGACCAAGTTAGGGAAGTTTTCTGTCATTATTTTTTCAAATAGGTTTTCAATTTCTTGCTCTCTCTCTTCTCCTTTTGGCACCCCCAAGATGCGAATGTTGGCACGCTTGAAGTTGTCCCAGAGCTGGTGTGGCTCAGTGGTTGAGCACTGACCCATGCACCAAGAGGTCACTGGTTTAATTCCCAGTCAGGGCACATGCCCAGGTTGTGGACCAAATCCCCAATAGGGGAGATGCAGGAGGCGGCCAATTGATGCTCTCTTTCATCAATGTTTCTCTCTTTCTCCTGCTCCCTACCTCTCACTCTAAAATCAATAAAGAAAAAAATTTTTTTTTTAAAAAAGGAGGCAAAAACATGTAATGGGGTAAAGAGAGTTTATTCAATAAATGGTGTTGGGAAAATTGGACATGTACTTGCAAAAAAATTAAACCAGACCACTTTCTTACACCATATATTAGAATAAACTCAAAATGAATTCAAGACTTAAATATAAGACTCAAAACCATAAAAGTCCTAGAAGAAAACACAGGTAGTAATATCCGAACATTTGTCTCAGTAATATTTTTTCTGATATGTCTCCTTGGGCAAGGGAAACAAAAGAAAAAAGAGCCCTGGCTGGTTTGGCTCAGTGGTTGGAGCGCCAGCCTACGGACTGGAGAGTCCTGGGTTCGGTTCCCACTAAGGATACGTACCTCAGTTGCGGTTTGTCCCTGGCCCCCATTGGGGTCATGTGGATGGCAACCACTTGATGTGTCTCTCTCGCGTCGATGTTTCCCTCTCTCTCTCTCCCTCCCTCTCTCCCTCCCACTCTGTCTGAAGATAAATGCAAAAATGTCCTTGGGTAGGATATGGAAAAAGAAAAAAGAAACAAATGGGACTACATCAAACTAAAAAATTTTTGCACAGCAAAGGAAACCATCAACAAAATGAAAAGACAACCCATTGAATGGGAGAACACATTTGCCAATGATACATCTGATAAAGGGTTAATATCCAAAATTTATGAAGAACTCATGCAACTCAACCCAAAAAACCCCAAACCAATTAAAAAATGGTCAAAGGTCCTGAATAGACACTTCTCCAAAGAGGACATAAAGATGGCCAAAAGATATATGAAAAGATACTCAATGTCAGAAATTATCAGAGAAATGCAAATTAAAACCACAATGAGATATAACCTTACACCTGTCAGAACGGTCATAAATAAATTCACAAATGACAAGTGTTGGTGAGGATGTGGAGAAAACGGAACCCTTGTGCACTGTTGTTGGTAAAAGGCAGGTTTCTGTACTCACTATGGAAAACAGTATAGAAATTCCTCAAAATTTAAAAATGGGACTTCCTTATCATGCAGTGATCCCACTTTTGGGTGTATATCCAAAGAAACCCAAAACACTAATTTGAAAGAGTATTTGCACCCTTATGTTCATTGTAGAATTATTTACAATAGCCAAGCTATGGAAGCAACCCATGTGCCCATCAATAGATGACTGGACAAAAAAAGTGGTGAGATATATATATATATATATATATATATATCTCACCACTTTTTTTTAAATTTTTTTTTTTTTTTTTATCCTCAGCCGAGGACATTTTTCCATTTTTTGTTCAGATAGAGAGGGAGAGAGAGAGAAACATCGATGTGAAAGGGACACATCGAGTGGCTGCCACCCACACAACCCAACCAGGGCCGGGGACAAACTGCAACTGAGGTACGTGCCCTTAGCGGGAACCGAACCCCGGTCTCTCTGGACCGCAGGCCGACGCTCTAACCGCTGAGCCAAACCGGCCAGGGCCTCACCACTTTTTTTGTATATATATTACTCGGCTATAAAAAAAGAACATAATCTTACCATTTGCAACAGTATGAATAGACCTAGAGGGTATTATGCTAAGTGTAATAAGTCACTCAGAGAAAGACAAATACTATATGATTTCACTTATGCCTGGAATCTAAAGAACAATATAAATGAATAAACAAAATAGAAGCAGATTCATAGATACAGAGAACAGACTGCTGGTTGCCACAGGGGAGGGGATTTGGGGAACTGGCTGAAAAATCTGAAGGGATTGAGAAGTAAAGATTGTTAGTTATAAAACAGTCATGGGGATGGTAAATACAGCATAGGAAATATAGTTAATAATATTGTGATAACTATAGATGGTACCAGGTGGGTACTAGAGATATCAGGGAGAACACTTTGTAAAGTACATGATTGTTTAACCACTATGCAGTACATCTGAAACTAATCCAAAATAATATTGAATGTAAACTGAAATTGAAAAAAAAAATAAAAACAACACACAAACAAAAAGAAAGTTTATACAGTTGGCACTAAGAATTATAATTGGACTCACTGCCAATTTGCATCTTTTTCTACTATGGAGTGTCTCAGAACACTCAAAAGGGTTCATGGTAACATGAGGAGTTGCTGGAATTTACATGTTGAATGTCTGATCACATGCCAACAGGAAGGGAACAATGGCTCTATAAAGTCTTCCTGGGGGAAAAACAAAACAAATCTAAGATTTCACAAGAGTCTTGTTGCACCACTTAAACTCTCACTATTGGTGAATCCAACTTGGGAAGACAAAGGAAAAGAAGTGCTATTTGTTGGCTGGGACCTGAGGAGTTGGTACAGATTTGTGGAAATGTTGCAAGTATGCCTCTGCTCACAAAGACAGATTCTGACAGGCACAATGTGTGTGTGGCTGACACAGTCCCTAATTATGAGCAGAGTGCCTTTAAGAGTCCACTTGGCACACAGGTAAAAAATTATGGTCCCTAATATGCTTTTACTTCTGACAAATTTGGCCACAGAAATGTTTGTTGTGATTCATCTGACACCAACCCTTGGCACTTATCAAACGTAAGCATGTTATGATATATTAAAAAATGAACCAAAACCATTATATGTACAAATATTAACTCCTTCCTCTTAAACATGAGGTAACTGGGACCAGAGAAGTTAGGTGATTTGCGGAAGTTCACATAGCTAGTATGCGTCAGTGTTAAACCAGAATCAATGTCTCTCTGACTTCAGTGCTCATTTCTTTCCACTACATTGTTTCTATTGAAAAGGCTGATGCCCAGAGCCCTGGAAAGGAGTAAGAAGGCCACAGTCCTGCGTGGCTGCAACTCAGCACATGCTCTGAGCGCCCTCCAAATCTCGAGTGTCCCCACACAGCTCCAGTCCAGTCCACCCTCCCTCTGCCAGAGCCCAAGGGAGGAGCTGGTCGCCAAGCTGTCGCAGGCGGAGGAGGAGAAGGTGGACGCCGCTCAGCTGGCCCACAAGTTCGAGGCGCTGAGCGAGGAGAACCGCACCTTGAAGTTGGCCCAGTCCCAGTGCGTGGAGCAGCTGGAGAAACTCAGGATCCAGTTCCAGAAGAGACAGGGCTCCTCTTAGCCTAGGGGCGTCCGTGTGGCTGCAGGTGCTGGCCCAGGGGGCGGGATGCGCCCTCCCCGTGCCCACAGGGCCGTCTCCAACGACCTCCTCCGAGCTCTGTGCTCGCTAGGTCTGGTCTGACAGGAGGGGTATTCTGCCGTAAATATGCTCATTAAAGCAAACCTATTACCAAAAAAAAGAAGAAGAAGAAAAAAAGGCTGATGCTATCTAAAATGTCAGATTATTTCCTCTAAATCTGTTTCAGAATTAAAACAATTTCAATTTAAGCATGACAAGGGATGCTCCAACATAATCATTAGTATTTATTTCCCCAAACATTTTTTTCTTGAGCATTTATTCCACTTTCATTGACACCGGTTTTCTTGCTTCCACTCTAGGAACAAGAGCTTTGAGTACAGCTGACACCACACTCAACTGAAGAGTGACATGAAACCCAGGCCTATCAAAGCCTCAGAGTTTGATCCAGGGATAGGTGCATGATCCATTCAAAGTCATTGTGCCACAAAGAGACCTTTGCTGGGACTGTTGGAAGGGTGGGGTGGGGGGTACCTCTTTTCTATTGCAACTTCTAGCAATAAGGGTGGATGAAGCCAAGAGCTTGAGGCCACTTGGTGACTACAAAGGAAGCCAAGAAAAGGAGAAGCAGAAATGAGAACTGGAGAACAACTGAACCCTAAACATACCGTTTGAAATCCTAAATCAGTATACACATTAACCTAAAACTTCTGGGTTTTTTTCTTTTTCCAGTTATATAATCTAATTTGTCCTTTTTGGTTAAGCCAATTTGAGTTAAGTTTTCTGTTCTTTGAAATAAAAAATTTCCAACTAATATAACATTGTTTTGATTGTTTAGAAAAGAATAATTTTAGAAAGGAAGAGGAAGTCACTACAGAGTAAATTTGTTAACTAATACATTAATTATGTAAAGAATTGAAATTAGTTAGGATTACATTCAGCTTAAAGTTACAAAGATAACTGAATAAAGATATTAAAACAACTTAAACATGAAGGATATTTATAATCTCATGTGAAAGAACTCTAGAAGCAGAGAAGCAAGGAAATACTAGGGTAGGTTAACTCATCAGTGCAATGATATCATTGAGGACCCAGAATCCCTTCTATGTAAATGTTGGGGCATAGATTGGGAAAAAGTGGGACCCTGAGACTTAGAATGAAGACATTTGGGTGGATTAAGACAACTTTGAGAAATTTGAACCCCCATGTTTTCCTTACATTCTTCTTTCTTTCCCTTTTTTTACTAACTTCTTTCTTCAAAGTAGTTTAAGACTCATTAAAAGTTGCAAAAAAGACTTCCGGTCAAGATGGTGGTGTAAGTAAACATGATATCGCTTCCTCCCACAACCACATCAAAATTACAACTAAACTACAGAACAAGCATTATTCAAAACCGCCTGAAATCAAGCTGAATGGAAGTCCTACAACTACGGAATTGAAGAAGCCACATCGAGACTGGTAGGAGGGGTGGAGGCGCAGATGGGCTGGTCCCACACTCACGTGTGGCGCATAAAAATAAGGAGCATACTTCGGCTGTTAAGGTCCTCCTTGAGGAGTGAGGGGTCTCCCTCCCACACCAGACTGCCAATTCATGGTTTCAGTGCCAGTAAGAGAAGCCCCCATCACTTCTAGCTGTAAAACCAGCAGGAACTGAGGCTGAGGGAGGCTGAGGCCGCTGGAGTCCCAGACAGTTCCTCTTAAAGGGCCCACTCACGGATTTACTAGAACTTGCTCCCTCTGAGCATCAGTGTGAGGGAGGCAGCTCAAAAGGCACCAGAGACATATGGGGAAGAACTGAGTTGTTTGGCACTGGGGTAAGGGCTAAAGAGTAAATTTGTTAACTAATACATTTCTCCTGGACAGATGTGCTATCAGAGGCCTGTGTTCCTTTGGTGAGCCCTTCCCCCACAAGGCCAGCATACGGCAGCCATATCTGGGACTCCAGCAACCTGGCTCATACTATTCACCCCACCCTGGTGATTCCCTGATGCCCTGCCCCTCCCAACTTGCAGGCCCACCCAAGCAGTTTCCAGTAGCTTTACCTTACGATTGGCCTGTCTTGGCTACTGATTCTGAGTTTCCTAAATTCTCCCAAACAAGTAGCATCTGGCCTCAGCGAGCCCCACACCTCTCATCAAGTGGCCCCAGGCTTGGCACTAGAAGCAGCCAGCCTTGGTCCACAACTTGGCTTTGCCTGGCACACCTCCAAGCCCAGCACAAGAAGCAGCCATCCGCATACCGCTTTGTAGCTTATGTCTGCTGGCCCCAGGTAGAACACAAGCAGTAGCTGGCCTTGTCCCAGTGGACAGCTTCAGAACACTGTGAAGCACCACCACCCAATCACCTCCACAAGTGACACACTCAAGGAATGGATTCAGTGGGTACCAGAACCTTGCTGAAGTAAGTCTTGCTCTGTGTGGTGGGCCCCTGAACAGTGGATCATCCAAGGTAGTCAGAGGTCAGTGGATAGTGGGCACAGCCAGTCCTGGCAGCTGATAAGCCTTAGTAAAAACCTCTTATTGATGTGCCAACAGCAATCAAGAATCGATTAAAATAGAAGGGTATAAAGTCCACACAAGGGGTGCACGTTGAGGGCCCAGATGGGAGACTAGGGAGGCTGTGCCTACAGGACACCTACTCCAATAGGCCACCCTAGGCAACCCAGGAGATATAGCAACTCAACCTAATACATGGAAACAGTTACAGGGAAGCAGCCAAAATGAGGAGACAAAGAAACATGTCCCAAATGAAAGAAAAGAACAAAACTCCAGGAAAAGAACTAAATGAAATGGACATAAGCAATCAATCATATGCAGAGTTCAAAACACAGGTTATAAGTTTGCTCAAGGAACTTGGTGAGATATTCAAGGGACTTAGTGAGACCTTCATGGAATTTAAGGAGACCTCCAAGAAACTTAGTGAGAACATCAACAACATAAAAAATGACCAGTCAGAAATGAAGGGTACACTAACTGAAATAAAGAATAATTTACAGGGAATCAATAGTAGAGGAGGTAAAGCCAAGAAGCAAACCATCAATTTGGAATATAAGGAAGCAGAAATCACCCAATCAGAACAGCAAAAAGAAAAAAGAATTTAAAAAAATGAGGATAGTGTAAGGAGCCTCTGGGACAACTTCAAGCATGCCAACATTCACATGCCAGAAGGAGGAGAGAGAGAGCAAGAAATTGAAAACCTATTTGAAAAAATAATGACAGAAAACTTCCCTAACTTGGTGAAGGAAACAGACATACAAGTCCAGGAAGCACAGAGAGTCCCAAACAAGTTGAACCCAAAGAGGTCCATACCAAGACACATCATCATCAATATGCCAAAGTTTAAAGACAAAGAGAGAATCTTAAAAGCAGCAAGAGAAAAGCAGTTTGTTACCTATAAAGGAGCTCCCATAAGACTGTCAGCTGAGCCCTGGCCAGTTTGGCTCAGCGGTTAGAGCGTCGGCCTGCGGTCCCGAGAGACCCGGGTTCGGTTCCCGCTAAGGGCACGTACTTCGGTTGCAGTTTGTCCCCGGCCCTGGTTGGTTGTGCGGGTGGCAGCCACTCGATGTGTCCCTTCACGTCGATGTTTCTCTCTCTCTCTTCCTTTCTCTCTCTCCCTCCCACTCTGTCTGTGCAAAAAATGGAAAAGTGTCCTCAGGTGAGGATTAAAAAAAAAAAAAAAGACTGTCAGCTGATTTCTCAAAAAGAAACTTTGCAGGCCAGGAAGGAGTGGCAAGAGATATTCAAGGTGATGAAAAGCAATGGCCTACAGCCAATTACTCTATCCTACAAAGCTATCATTTAGAATCAATGGACATATCAAGAGTTTCCCAGACCAGAAAAAGCTAAAGGAGTTTATCACCACCAAACCGTTATTATATGAAATGTTGAAGGGTCTTCTTGAAGAAAAAGAAGATTAAAAATATAAACAAACAAAATGGCAATAAACACATATCTATCAACAATTAAATCTATAAACAAAATGAACAAACAGAACAAAAACATTCTTGTAGATACAGAGAACATTTTGTTGGTTGCCAGATGGGAGTGGGGTTGGGAAAATGGGTAAAAAAGGTGAAGGGATTAAGAAGTACAAATTGGTTGTTAGACTGACAAACCTCAAAGGGTAGGGGGGTGGGGGGAATGAAGAAATAAACCAAAGAATTTATATGTATATATGCATAACCAATGGACACAGACAACAGTGTGGGGAAAGGCAGGAGCGGGGGGGGGGGGGAGAGCGGGGAGGAGGGGGTCAACATGTGAAAAAGGAGGAACATCTGTAATACATTCAACAACAAAGATAACAAAAAAAGGTTGCAAAAATAATGCATAGAGTTCCCATGTGCCCTTTGCCCAGTTTCTGTCAATGATAAGTTCTTACACAACCATAGTACCTTATAAAAACTAGGAAACTGCCCTGGCCAGTTTGGCTCAGTGATTAGAGCATTGGTCTATGGTCTAGAGAGACCTGGGTTTGGTTCCCGCTAAGGACATGTACCTCAGTTGCAGTTTGTCCCCGGCCCTGCTTGGGTTGTGCGGGTGGCAACCACTCGATATGTCCCTTTCATGTCGATGTTTCTCTCTCTCTCTCCCCCTCTCTCTCCTTCCCACTCTATTTGAACAAAAAATGGAAAAATGTCCTTGGGTGAGGATAAAAAAGTAAAAATAAAAACTAACATTAGTACAATATTATCAACTCAGGTACAGACTGTATTCAGATTTTGCCAGTTTTTACATGCATTCCTTTTTTAGGGGTATACAGTTTTATGAAATTTTATCATATATGTTGATTCTATAAGGAAGTATCATCACAATCAGGATTCAGAATTCCTTTACCACAAAAAACTCATGTTACCCTTTAACAGTCACACTCTTCCCCAAACTCTAACCCCTGACAACCACTGATTTGTTCTCTATCACTATAATTTTGTCACTTGAAAATGTCATATACATGAAATTATATAGTATGTAATCCTTTAAGATAAT